TTGAAATTTTTAAAAATTGTTTTATAGCATTTTATTCGATGATTTTGATTATTCAGTAAAATGAAATAATTTATGTAAATAATATTATCTTGTAATAAATATTTTAAAATTGGAGAATTTTACAATATTTTTTTCACTACAAAATAAAATCCAAACAAATAAAAAACTGACTTCGTAAAAATAAGGGAAAAAAATAATAGCATGAACTGATAATTACCTAATGTGATTGAGAATAATAAGATTGCAACAAACCGCTCAATAATAAGTGGACTAAGTCTGCGAGCTTAAGAATAGCAAAAATAAATACAATTGAGAAATTCAAACAACAAAATATATGAGCCGCTGAGACGAAGGGCTACCATTTTCTGAAGACTAAGGGCCTGTTTGATATGTCTTTTTTTACAAGCCCTTTTTTTTCTTGGAAAACATTTTCCACTTTTGCCATATTTGATAACAAAAAATTTTAATGGAAAATATTTTTCTCCCACCCCTACGTGACCCATTTTTCCATTTTTTGTTGAATTGGTGGTCGGAAAATGGTTTTCAATCTTTTTTTTTTATTTTTGTAAAAAATTTTTTGGCAATGAAAATAAATTCTATGGACAATTGTAAAAAAAATTCCCTTTAATCAACAATTTTCATGGAAAATAAAGTCAAACGAACACCAAAAAATCCAAAATTTCAACATTTTTCAGGTGAAAAATTATACAAATTAAAAACAATTAATTAGCGATTCTCAAGTGAACAATTCTAGACAATTCAATTCCCTATAATTCATTTTCTTTCCACCCAATTTCACTCTTACAATCAAACAGACCCTAAGAGTTATTTGAATTTAAATGTTAATATGATGGATAATTGTCATATTTTTCATTTTAATGAGATAATAATGTAGATCAAACGGGACTTATTTTCAAAAAGATCAAACAAATATAAAATTTGAGTATTTTATAAAATTGAAAGTAAGTTGACAAACAACCCTGAAATAGAGAAAGAAAAAAAATCTCGACAAGTTAGTTTTAACAAATATAGTGCCTGTTTGTCAACCATTATTGAGAAGAAAATTGTGTAATGAATAGTATTTTTTGGAAAATGTGTGGCTGTAATTGAAAGAAACTTTATCGGTTTATGTGTAAAATATTTTATTATTTGAATGTGTGGTAGAGATTGATTACTGTAGAAAACAATTTTTGAAAAATGGTAGATAAACAGGGGCTAATGTTAAATAGTGTTATTGAAATCACATCGGATTGATTGATTTGTTTGAAAAATTGAGAATCGATCCAAAGTTTGGTTTGAAGTGAGACAAAATCCAAGAATTTAAACCATTTAGCTCAACTTGGATACTTTCATGTCAAAATCTAATTTTTATTTATTTTCCATTAAAAAGTTTGAACTTCTCTCTGTCTCTATATCTTTTCTGTTATTATTATATTAAATAAACAAAGAATCCAAAGAGAAAAATGCAAAGCTATCCGTTGGAGTGGTTGGCAGTTGGACCATTTCATTCGCTCAAATAGCAACGCATACTCCATCTTTATCAAACCAGAAAAAAGCTCGTTAATTATTTTTCTTCTCCCGTGGGTCACAAAGAATTACCAAAGCCGGCCTGCTCCGAAAACTTTAACCATTTAAGCCTGCAAACGGGGGACAAAGTGGGAGCCCTTCATCATTAGTCATTCCAAAGCAAAAGCAAAAGATAAAAGAAAAGAAGAAGAAGAAGAAGAAGTATTTTTTTTTTTTTTGAAAAATTATGCAAAATCAGAAGTCAATTGAAACCCAACAGTCTGTGATGCAAACAAGGCAGATTTCAGGAAGTCTGAGTTTCACTGGGATCATGACAAAAGAAGAGGAAGAAATGTCGAAATCTGCTCTTTTGACATTTAGGGCTAAAGAGGAGGAGATCGAGAAGAAGAAAATGGAGGTGAAGGAGAGAGTTCAAGCACAGTTGGGTCGAATTGAACAAGAAACTAGGCGTTTGGCTACAATCAGGGAGGTATATATTTATTAATTCTTTTGTGTACATTTACATGATTTTGAGGCATCAGTTTAAAATAATGAAATTATAGTATAATAATTTAGTTTGCATCAATTATTATGCATAATTAAGAGAAGAAACTTCGTAAATTAACTCATGGGCTTGCAGTTTTATTTTGTGTAACTTTCGAATATTTTAGACTCGGAGCTTTGGAATAAATAATCGAAGCAGAGATGTTTGGTATATGTTTTGAAGGAACAAAACCCTCTGAACTTCCAAAAATAAGCAGTTCAATTTAGGGGTTTTGTGTCTTCCACAGTATACATGAGTGGCTGAATCTGAGTGTTGATCGGTCTTGTCTTTAAGCTTGAACAAGTTTAATTTACGAGCAGGCAGAGGTTTCGTTGTCATCTATTTATGAAACTGCGAATGAGCATGTTGAAGACATAATTTAAATAAATAGTTTGTTGTATCTAATATCTTTAGATTTTAGCTGGGATAGTTCAACGTTTAGATGAGTCGCGCTCTTCGTGTATATATGTTTTGTTTGTTGAAAGTGTAGATTAATTTGCATAGTGGTAAGTATATAGATCATGAACAATTTAAAATTCATGTAGGAAGTGTCGAGGCATAATTGGGTATCAAAAGTTCATTCTTGAAAATTTCTTGAAACTACTTTATCAGGAACTCGACGCCCTATCAGATCCTATGAGAAAGGAAGTTTCACTGGTTCGCAAGAAGGTTGATTCGGTCAATAAGGAGTTAAAACCACTTGGACAAACATGCCAGAAGAAGGTGCAATATGTCAATAGATAGTACTTTCTTGAATATTAGACTACTGAAGATTTCTGGTTATTGTTCGAGTAAATTTGATTTGATTTGATTTCTTAAAATCACAGGAGAGGGAGTACAAAGAAGCCCTCGAAGCTTTCGAAGAAAAGAACAAAGAAAAAGTACAGTTGATCACAAGATTGATGGAGGTAAATAACGATACCCTATTCGCTTATGATTATAATTATTTTCAGGAAAAGAAATCAACTTGCGATTAATACTTATCATTGTTTTTGGTAATGGTACACAGCTGGTAAGTGAAAGCGAGAAAACGAGAATGAAGAAGTTGGAGGAGCTGAGCAAGAACTTAGAAACGCCACGCATAGCCTAATGTTGGTGATTAAGTAGGTTTGTGTAATATATTTAAGAATGGCATTTCTATTTCTATATATATGTTGGTTGTTTTTCGGGTGGGTTTGGTTGTATTATGGTGATTTTCTTGTTAGTTCGATTAGCTTTCGATGGAAGGGTTTCTAATTTTAGCAAGGGGAATTCCCCACATGACAGATTCTATTGATTGTAATGTTTTGGATATACTCCCACAACTGTTGACAGTTTTAATGATATTGTACTGTTTGTTTCATTAAACATGATGCTGTATGGTTCTACGGAAACCAAGAGTAGTTCGTATCGTGGTGATTGCTTTGACCAGTAGATGCTCTGGTTGTGCTTAGAGCATGTTTGGTTGTGTTTAAAAGTTACTTTTCTA